GCAGATTCTAAAATTCTGGTTGTCAGTAACCTCACACGGTCTTGATCCAAAAATAAGCAATTCAGTTTTATTTTCATTTAATACAAGGCTGTGGGCTCTTACATATCTAGATAAATACTCAAGATCAGAATTGATACGCATGTAGGAAACATAAGCATCATCAAGTTTAAAAGAGTAATACAATTATTGTGTATCATCTGCATATTGATGTGTCCTGCAAAATTCCAACTGTCTTTTCAAATCTGACATATACAGTGAAAACAACAAAGGTCCTAAAATACTACCCTGTGGCACACCTCTGGTAATACTACGAAGCTGACATATATGGCCATTAAATTCTGTGCACTGGGATCTGCCTGACAGGTAGCTATTAAAGACATCTACAGCCATATTGCTTAGTCCCAGAGATTAAGTTTCGAACATAAGATTGAATGATCCATTTTTTCAAAAGCTTTACTGAAATCGAGCAAAATCAAGCGACTGTACATCTTAGTGTCACATGCTCTGAATAAGTCATCTGTAACTGTTGCAAGTGCGGTTGCAGTACTATGGCCAGAGCGAAAGCCCGATTGTGTGGTAGGAAGTATATTATTAGATGTAATAAATGTTTTTAGTTGGAAAGCTACGATTTTTTTTAATATTTTCGAAAAGCCATGTAGAATACTTAAAGGCGAAGATGAGAAGATTCTTTTGGATTACCAATCTTTGGGATAGGGATAACTTTAGAGTATTTCCAGCTGGACGGGAAAGTGTTGTTAGCAAGGCAAAAATTGACAATATAAGTAATACTGTTACTTAGATAAGGAAAAACTAGTTGAATCATCTTAAGGTCAATCTTGTCAGAACCACATGAATTAGATTTTATTGACATTAATACGCGCTCAATATCTTTAGCACTCACAAAAATTTATTCTTAATATTACGATCAGATACATATTGGCTTGCATCCACGCCAGATGAGATACCACTGGAAGGAGCGCCATCAATGAAAAAGTTGTTCTGGGTCGTACTGCAGACCATTAATGTCAGAGGGACTGTTTCGGATATTGAGATAGTCCATAGCTTTCCAAAATTCCTTAGAAGATAATTTTGATTTTGACTGTAAAAATGCTCTTTTCAGACTGTATTAAGAAGTTGAGCAAATTTCTTAAATTCTTATAATATTGCAGCGTCTCCTGAGTCTCATACCTCTTATACCTTAAAAAAGCTTTTTTTTAAGCTGCTTCATCAATTTTAAGTCGTCTGTCCACCAGTAAGCTGGCCTCTTAGAGATTCTAGCAGTTTTATACGGAGCATACCAATCAAAGACGTTAGAGATATTAATATCCCAAAATGAAATAATGTCATCAATATTTTGCATATGATAAATTGCTTGCCAGTTTATCTGCAGTAGGTCATTAACAAAATCATCGTAATCAAATTTAGAAAAGTCCCGGTATGTTCTAAAAATAGGAACGAACCTATCAGCAACGAAAATCGTATTCAACTAAGGAATGATCGGAAATGCCATCCATATTAATAACAGAATGAGATGCAACAATTGACAAAGGTAATCCCATTTTCATGCTCGTTGAAAAAGTGATTTACATTAGAGTTAGGAGGACGATATAATGTGCCCAAACAAACCGATTTATTACTAATTTTTAGTTTTATCCACAACTGTTCCAAGTCGGGTGAGATTGATTAGTCAACAATAGAAAATGATAAGCACTTTTTAATATAAAACGCCACCCCGCCACCTCTAGTACCACGATCCTTTCTTACCAAATTGTAGCCTGGCAGCTTAAAAGTGTCAGCATCGACAGACAGGTCTAACCATGTTTCTGAAAGTCTAACCACAGAATAGTTGGAAGCGCATATGAATTCAGAAAAAGAGTCAAACCCTGTAAAAAGAGAACGAACGTTAAAATGAGCAAACGAAAAACATGTTCCTTCTTATATTGGCGTAATAGTGTGTTCATTATGGTGAGCCCAGAATATTCTGAAAAAGTTGTGTATGTGTAATGTATGAAATAGTATAATGAATATACGAAATGAATGAAACATAAGAAATTACAAAAGTAGCTCTTGGTGGCGCCAGTTACAGAAATGGAATATATATATAGAAAATACAAAATATCTACATACAAATCTACAAAAAAAATCTAGTATACAAAAAACATTTCTTATCAAAACTCTGAGAGCAAAGAATGAAAGGTACTAGAATTGCATGTTCCGCACGAAATGAAAGCAATTCACCGTTAAATCAATGTATTCATAACAAATTATTAAATTCCAAAAATAATAATAAATCAAGCTTAACTGCGTTACAAGGCATAAAGTGATACATGAGTAAACAAAAAAAGGGTTACACAATATCATCCCGGCTGGAAATACACTTTTTGGTGTCACCACACTTAACAAACACTTTGCCACATGACGACCACTAAGCCAGTGCTTCGAAAGAAAACGGCGTATATGACTTTTCTCATGGCTCTCTGCTTCTTTGCCATTGTTGGCGAAGGCTCATCTTCATGAATCCACACACGGCTTTCCTGACGTATAGGAATGTCATAAAACGGTTTCATCACCTATTATTATTTATGAAAGAATACGATGACCGCCATTGTTTAACATTTCCGATGTTTACCGACTAATCCTAACACACTTCTCCTTTTGGGAATCAGTAAGCTGATGTGGCACCCGCCTCGCAACAACTTTTTTTAAATGAAGATGATCATGCAAAATGGTGTGCACTGGTTGCCTCTGCAGTCGCATATGTGCAGCGAGAATCTTCTTCAATTAGCCGCTAAACTTTAGCAATATTTTCTGGAGTCACACTAGCACATGGCCTACCTCTACGTTTTTCATCAGCCAATGAAACACACTCTTTTAAATTCTGCATGTCAGCGAAACACTTGGCCGGGACGGAGCTTCATTACCAAATGGCTGTTGTAACCGTTCGATACATTGATGTTCAGTTAAACCGACTTTAATTTCACAGTAAATCACAGCGCGATAACTCTCACGAGACAACTCCATGTTTCGGCTTAAATTTTTTTGCACCACGTGCACCGTAAGACGCTTGGAAATGAACTGAATGCGGCGACTCGGGCGACTTACTAATAAAGGACTGTTCTTCCTAATAGTGCACTGTTGCCGGTTTTAACTAGTATATGCGCATCTCAAAATATATACGATAATTAAGTGCAAATAGATAGAAAAATATCAAGCATAGTAAAGTAGATATGATTTATGTAACTTTCAACAAAACATTTTTTGAAGCTGTCCCCCTTCCATTTTGATCTGTGTACGCCAATGACTCGTGGGCGAGTCGGATTGCTATCGGGTAGAGGATGTCAGCTGATTTCAAGAGCAATCCTTTGCATAACCTCATTTTTACCGGATACTGTAACTGTCCACTGGGATGGAAAATTGTCGCCACCTTTAAATGAACACACGTCTAAAGAAGAACGTCTACCGATTGTTATATGTTAAAGAGCAACTTATCGCTGTGACCAAATTGGATAACTCTTCCGGCAGCGAGCAGACTCAGGCAGCCTGGGATGCTACTATTGACTGGAATCTTGAAGATGAAGTTCAGATTCAGTTCACTGAAACCGTGGTTACAAGGCACTTCAGCAGTCAATGTACCTAACCAGGATGTTTGCTTTTTAAAGGCAATGAAGGCTAATTTATGGTATTTGACAGATGAGGTCTCTGTCTTATCTGTTTTATGACGACGTAGATAAGGAAACGGAAGTAAAAATTGTTACTAATTTAGCCAAAGAAAGTCCACGGTAAACGCTACATCCCATTAAAAGAAGTAGTTTCTGGACTACTTTATGGTGTCTGACGAATAAATTGGCCATGGTCTTCTTTTTCTGCTTCGATATAATACGCTAACTGTTAAAATAAGCCAGCATAAACTGTGATTCTGGCAATAGATAGAGGTTAGTTGCTATGTTTTTGTTCGTTGTTTTGACCTGAGGCCAAGCCTAAACGATGCTGATGTGTTGCCTAAAAGCACAAAACATCTGTACATGGTTGACTGTCTGTGATCGGACGGACAAAACCAATACGTCTAGATGGTAACTATTCTTCGTTTTTTCATTTCAGAGAAAAATATCGATGACTTTGTTTCAATCAAAAGCAAGTCCTTGTTCAGCCGACTCAAAATTGATGACAGTTTTCTCGATGAGTGTCCAACATCATGGCCACATGATGATTCTTTTCAATACAATAAGAATAAGGGGCAAACACAGAAAACTTTGAAAAGAAAATTTAGCAAATGTTATTTCAATGATAAATATCTAAGGGATATAAGATACAAATAAAGCAGTGTTTTATTTATCCAATAAGAATTAGATTCTGGAATCCATACATGGTTTTCCTATTAACTTTTTTATATACTCCAACTACCACGAGGGCCTAAGGCCTAAACACCAATTAGGTACCGGGGGGCCATAGGGGGATACAGGGGAAAGGGGGGACGCCACACGGACTCTGGCGAGGGAATACGTGTGCATGCAACATGCACACATTCTGGCTCCGCCTACGAGATCCGCCGGGTGATACCTCTGCATTCGACACTCAGAGACCGTCTACCACATACGGACAATCACAACATCCATAGCCAAGAGAAAAAATTCTCCTGGGACTGGATTCGAACCCGCACAGCGCACGGCGACTGATCAGGAGACCGAAGAGTCTACTACTGCGGCCACCGCTGCCGCCTAACTTTCAAATTCAAAAATTGAGCGAACATCGGCACGGGTTATCGTTCCCTGATCGCAATGATATTTATTTTTTGAGTTAATAAAGTCAAATGGAAAAAAAATTAGAGGATATGCGTATCTCAATTCGAACAAAAGTTTGTTTGGCCTCATATTCAGAGACACACTAGTGTATATGTTACTAGAAAAAACTGCTATTTTTTTCAAAATCTATACGCCCTGTAAAGTCTCAACTTTGAGGACACCCTGTATAAATTACAATAAAGATGGTGTGAAACAACTTACTCGTCCCTCGGCTCGATAAACTCCGCCTCTACCAAATCCCTTAAACAAGTAGATATGAGATCATTCACTTCATGGCACTTCAACCCTGCCAACTCTCGGAAACTGGTGCTGAGTAAATAATCGCCAGTGAGCAGTGAGAGCTTGTTTCCAAAGTTCAGTTCATCCAGATTTTCATCATTGGCAGATATATTTAGGATGCTTTTGTGGATGATGTTACTGGTCCGAATCATTTCAGTTATTTCTGCCAGCACTCTCTGGCTGTGCAGAATGCCTGGAATTTTTCGAAAATCAAAACAATACACTCAGAATAACGTATGTCGTAAAAGTTTTGGCACAAAATATTTATCGGATTTGTTTTTAATGAACAAATTTATTTAAGCACTAGTTATCACAAATTACAACTCAATACTTAACTATACTATATTATCGAATTCTGTCTTTCATGAGGTCCTGGACGGAATTCAGATCAATTTCTCTTTGTTTTTCGTAACTTCGCCGTCTTAATTGTTCTTGATCTTGGGCTTCCCAGCCTCCATGATAAACCTTCCCAGACAGTAAAGCATTAATGTACGTTGTCCGTATAAAATCCGTCGTTTCCCTTGATTTCAGAATTACTCAATGTAAAATAATTTTCGTCATCTAAAAGAACGATTTTTTATTGGCAAAGTGTACCCGCCTCAGTTGATGACAGCATCTTGGTATATGAAGAAGTTGCTCTTGAAAGCATTTGGGGCACCTAAGTCTCTTTCGATATTTAAGACCATTCCTCCTCAATTCCAACGATATCGTACTGTTAGAAGATCTGGATTGACGAGCTAGTCCCCTTTTTGACATTTCAACCTGATTTTTTGCTCTTCTCACCAATCTCTCTGACCTCTGTGCAGTAAATACACGTGGTCTTCCACTTTTTGGGAGATTCAGACATGGTATTCCCTGCTCACACTCCGCTATTGTTCGATAAATGGATCTGCGTTTATTACCGAATATTCGACATATTTGGGTACTTGTAGATACTTTTTTTTCATTTCTAATTCATATGACATCTTCAAGCGAGAACTTCAAAATTAATAAATGTCAAGCGACAGTAAAGTAAATAAACAAACTTTTGTTACCAAAGGCAACTTGATATTATTTTGTGTTTGTTAAAATTAAAGCTAATGAATTTTGTGCCAAAACTTTTAGAACATCAAATATCTTTTCTAGTTGATGATGAAAGTGATGTTTTTCTTCGTAGATGATATAATCAATCGAAAGCAGATGCATCCGAATCTGTATTGAGGGAATTACGGATCTATGTGGATGTTTTCAAAGCAGCTTATTCAGATGCAAAAAACAACACAAACAGTTAATAGAAGAAACCAAAAGGAAGAGTAATCAAAATATAATCTTTAGTTCACCTAATTTTGCAAAAGATACCTGAAAAGTCATTTCTGAATCAGGCTATCTTGGAGCTAGATGAGACTTCATTTAGAGAACTTATAACAGAAAGTGTACTTTATATATATATATATATATAAATATATATATATATATATATATGGATGTATGTACAATTTTTGAACATCATAACCTCCTAAAATATTTCAGTTGTGCTGGTTTCGACCATACTGCAAATAATTGCTCCACGAACGGTATTTGCTTGAAATGTGGTAGAAGTGGTCATCAACCCCAGAACAGTGAAATACCAGAAAATGAAGGAACTTGTCGCAATTGTAAAGAATCTAATTCAAAATATAAAACAAATTTCGACTTAAACCATTCACCATTTAATAAAATTTGCAGCACTGTAATAGAGCATAAAAACACAGCCCAAAGCATATTACCGTGATAAATCATAGCAGGTAAAAGAATATGCAAATTGTGTGTATCATATAAATATTCAAGGATTTCTATCTAAAAAAGACGTGGTTTTACATTACTTGATGTCAGTGAAGCCAGTGGTACTCTGTTTAACTGAAACACATCTCACAGAGAATATTGGCGATGAAGAAATTGGAATTGAAGACTATCAACTTGTAAAAGCAAATACAATTTCCAGGCATACAGGTGGTATATTATTATATATGATGTATTTTATGTGAAATAGAAACTATAGTACATGAGACTGGTGTTCTATCACAACTCCTGTTTCTAAAGTTAAGAATTCTGAGTTGTACACCAATATGCGGCCAATAAATATACTACCAGCTGTTGAAAAAGTCTTCGAAGAAATTATTTACGAACAGATCATCGAATTTATGGAGGGAAATAAAATTTTAACCAAATTTCAAGCTGGAGTCAGGAAGAAATACTCAACTGAAATGGCAAAATAAATGGTTTTAGAGGACTGGAGGAGATGTATTTACAATAGGAAACATACAGTGACAGCGGTTTTGGACAAATGGCATTTGAAACTATTGTCAGGGATGAATTACTTACAAAATTGCATCACTATGGATTTAAAGGATATGTATTCAAAATCCTACAAAACTACTTAATTGACAGAAGTCAAAAAACCAACATTGGATCTACATTATCATGCTCAAAAAATATTTCTCTGGGTGTACCACAAGGTAGTGAACTAGGACCACTGCTATTTATTTTATAAATTAATGACATTTGTTATATTTTAGATTATTGAAAAATTCAGATATATGTAGATGACACATTAACATACATATCAGATGAAAATATAGATGCTAAAATGCTAAATTCTGACTGACAAAAAGGTGTTCCAAAAATAGAAGAAGATATTTTAGAGGATGATTCCTTGTTAAAAAATATGAAAAAAGTTTCTATAAACATGGGTCCGGAAATGTAGAGTTTTCAAGATACAGGGTGATGAAGTAAAAATTATTTTTTTATCTCAAAAAATATTTACCCGATTCTGTTGACATTTGAGGATATTATTTGTTGTATTAAAATGCTAATTTAGCCTTGAATAGATTTAAATTATTAGGTCCAGTGGTGAACCGAAGGCCTTTTTGTAACTTGAATATTTGTTGTTTAATTAAGAATCTAAAAATACAACTTATTTACCTCTTGTATTTTTTTCGTATCTCACTTCGTTTTCGAGAAAAAATAAAACCGTTTTATTGTATGTCTCTGGACAAAATTGTTGTATTAATTTTTGCTAAAAAATCACAAGTGTCTTGATATATGACAAATAGAAAAAATAATTAGCAAAATCCGCAAAAAAGAAGGAAAGTGGATTCGACCAGAAAGTATGATGGGTAACCCGAACAATACGGATTTCTGCTTGTTGGCTTGATCAGGCGCGAATACGGATACCTTTCTCCATATGATCCTTTCCTTTTTGTAGCTCCTTTGGGCTTGAAGTACCACGACAAGTGGATATAACCGGTCGCCTTGTTGTGGCTAGATGTCGTCTTGAAAACTCGAAGTCTCTTATACTACAAAAGTGTAGGTGTATGGGCATGTTTGTGTTTTTTGTAGTTGCATATGTGCATTCATTTCGGGCCTGATGCCAACAAGCATAAATACGTATCATATCCTACCTTCTGCTCGAATCCACTTTCCTTGTTTCTGCGGCACCCAGGCTTGTGTATTATGAAATTGCAGTTTCAAAATTTTGATTGTATGCAGTGGACATTTTTGTTATAAAACTGTAACTACTCACCAGCTGTTACATCACAGTCCATCTTTGAGAATTCTCTATTTAATCCTCCAGCTTTAGATACTAATAAAACAATAAGGCCCCATCTAGGAGTTTGATTACTTAATATCAGTTCCCTTAAATGAAAATAAAATTTTATTATTTTATTAAGTTCTGTTTTCATCACAGTTCAAACAATATTATAAATTATAAACGTTCCACTCAACTACCAGAGGTTTTCAGTTCTTGATTTTAGGTATGTTCAAATCAAAAACAATAAAGCCCTGACAAAAACATGATTTGGCAGCATTCAGCAGATAAAACCGGCACCACATGGGAGCAGCACACTTGTAATTAGTAGTGAAAATGTTTGTAGGACAGAGAGTAGATCCAAAGAACGTTATATAAACATAGGTCTTAAAATGCCCCTTATCAAAATTGAACTTATAATTTTGAAATAAAAAAATATATCTTTGGAGTGGATTAAGTTAATCACAAATTCTTGTACCTACATACAGGGTGTTTCCTTGAAGGTCAATAGTTAAGGGTTAGTTTTTGAGTACATTTCAAGACAAAAACTTCATATGAAGGTATGTACTTAACGTCAAAATTTCTGAGATAATAGCATGCCCCTGACTTTTCTTAAAATAAAAAAAATTGAAATCCGTATTCATTTTTGAGCAGATTTTATCTCTTGATATGTTTAGTCCAGTGCACGTTTTTCACCTAATTAAATTAAAGGTATTCATCTGGTCATGTTGTCATGTTAACGATATTGTTCATGGAGGGAAACGGTTTTTAAGCGAAAATCCTGTACATACTGGATTTAAAACATCAAGCACTAAAATTCGCTCAGATATGTTTGGAGGTTTCAAGAACCATTTGTATTTTAAAAGAAATCTTTTTCGTACCACCAAAGTCTGCCAAAATAGGCGCGTGAAATGACCACGCGACTGGTGGAAAAAATAGTACATTAAAAACACCCTGTATAATAATAACAGCATGGGCCAAAACATACAAAAATATCCATGGCTTAGGCCGCACTAGTGGCATAGAAAATTGGAACATTACGAACTATCTAGAAGAAAACTGAACTGAAGGAGGTCATTTGTAGGAACGACTTACGATACGGCCATTACACAGCCTCTTTTGAAAGTTTTTGTGACAGCAATTTTTTTGAAAATATGATAGCGAAGTTTGACATTAAATGAAGTGTACTTAGGAGGCTAATCCCATATCACCCTAGATACTTTTGAATAATACCCATGTATTGTTCTTATTCAGTCTCGTCAGCGGCAGAGAATTGTAAATCCTCTATTTTGGCGAAAGACATTTTAGGATTTGTTTATGTTATTTTTGAATGTACTTTATCTATTATAGAAATATTGCCATTATTTTTTTATCCTCTTATATAATAGGTGTATATAGATTTATTATACAGTGTAAAGTCCCGGAACGGCTCTGTTTTAGTAGTAATAGTATTTTATTCAGTCAAAGTACAAACACATGGTTGAAATGGCAAGTGATAAAAAAAGAATGGACATGGAAGAAAAAAGCAAAATGTGTCACCCGAAGATACATTAATAAAATATGCAATAATGAAATTAAATTTGAAACTGTATGACACATTAAAATAATTGACAAAATTAAAATTATGTAAAAAACAATATTCAAAAGATCCATTTGAATGGTATTAACATCCACAATTTAAAAATTCGCCAACAAAATAAAAACATTTATCAGTTAGATAATTAAAGACCATTCTTTTAAAATACCAGTAGATATCAATTTCCCTCAAATCTCTAAGTATAGCATTATGCATTGCTACAAAATTATACTGCGGTGACCTAGTGTAAGTTAGAGTCCTAAAATGATTTGATTTTAATTTGTTGATTCTTGTATTATAATCATGCTGTTCATTTTGCTTCTCGAAGTTGTTATTGTTACATTTAACATGACTTACACATTTATATATAAAAATACATGGTACAGTTTTTTGTCAATAAAGCCTTGCCTGAAAGTGAGATTGAATAATAGTCTAATGATACGTTTTTGTGAAACAAAGACTGTCCCAGCATAGAATATTATATGACAGGTGGCTATATACAAATGCATAGTAAAGAGATAATAAAGAGTTTTCATCTAAATATTGTTTCATATGAAATAATGCGAAGAAGCTTTTGTTTAAATTGCAGCAGATGTTGTTTATCTGAGATTTTCCTGGGTAAGGTATTTTTGGAAAAAATCAAGGTCAGATCTTCAGTAACTTTTAGCAAGGAATTCAACGGTGACCTTTAATTTGACTTTTTTTTTTAAAATAGAAACCCGCAGGAACAGTATCGGTCAAACATCATTTGTAACGAGCACACTAATTTCCTCGTTAAAACTCACCCAAAGATCTGACCTTGCCAGTTATCTTCGTCACTATTCGTGTGAGATTTTTCAGCAGCACACATTTGGCTTTCATGTGATTTCTAGTGGTCACCTTCACCTTAAATTCTAATACACATTTGAACATAAAATTTCCGACACTCTGGAGGATCGGCATCAAATAGGCGTTTCTATTTGGAAAAATAGAGTTGATCTTGAAATCACCTGTGAACATTTACTAAAGACCTGACCTTAGCAGTTTTTTTGGTCACGATCTCCGCGAGGTTTCTAGAGGTTGTCCTAGCGGCACACATTTGACCTCCAGATGGCATCCTGGCCTTGAATTCCAATTCGTATTTGAAGATAAAAATAAAGTTAACTTTGAAATAACCTTGAAGGTGATAGTCAAGGTTAAATCCACGGTCAGCGTTTACTTCCTCGTTAAAATTATTTTTGTGGCTCATCCTGTGAGATTAATAGAGGTTTTCTAGCAAACAATTGATGTTCATTTACCTTTAGTAGTCATCTTGACCTTGGACTTTAATTGCGTTTTAACATAAAATTTTCTGTTCTTTCGATGGCAGCCATCAAAAATAGAGGTTTCCATTTGAAAAAATAAATTTGACCATAAACTAACCTTGAAGGTGACGGTCAAGGTCAAATTCAAGGTCATCATTGAATTCCTTGCTGAAAATTATTGAAGAACTGAACTTGATCTTTTACAAAAATACTTTACCTGAGGAAATACAGAACCATTCTGGGGCATTTGTGTCATGCTGTAGATACTTTGACATGTAACAATCACAAGCATGTCACCAAATAACCAAATATTTAGCCGTGTTCATAAAAGGGAAGCATATCTTCGGAAGCATAAGGTCTTGCTTCGGAGAAAAAGGTAGAAGTATAAGCATATCCTTGTTTTCATATTCATAATGATTACCTTATACTCGCGAGGATATCCTCCAAGGAGAAGTAAAGTTTTGACTGGTATTTGTATCTTGAGCGACATGTCCTGACTTGTTCCAGCTTGTAGTTGACGTGGGAGTTCGTTCACTCAGCGTCACTGACAGTTGTACCCCAGAGCTTACACAGACTGTTCCGTATTTTTACTGGATACAGTTTTTTATCAAATTAATAAGCATGTCATCCTCAAGTCATGAGAACACTATAGAACATAATGACAATGACCTGCAGTTCATCGCAGATGAAATTGCCATTGCTCCCATTATTTTGCAAAAGTCACAAGTTCCAAAAATAAAAATGCGAAAGGACGATTACTTGAAGAAGATGTTGAAAAAATACGAATCAACATTCGGTAAACCATTACTAAAGACTTATTAAAAAAAATCAACAACATGAAATCAAGATTGAAGAAAAAACAGATATAAAAGAAACTGGTAATAAAGCAATTCAATTGTTAGATTGGGAAAGAAAGTTGCTGAAAGCTATGGAAGGTGACTGTAATCCTACAATTGGGAAAATTAGAGGTGGAAGAAGGAAGTGAACTATATACCGAGCACAGTGAGCAAACAGTATTACAGCACCAGCAATTCAGAACACATTGCCACCAAAAAGAAAATTAGGAACAGAGAAATACGAAACTGAGGAAACCAAAGGGTTAACTACAAAAGAACTGTAACGTCTAGTGCTATTACAGCAGTACCAAACAAGTATTTTACAAAAAGAGTATTATGAAACGAAATTAGAAATGATGCAGCGTCAGAAGCCACCTGTAACTTATGATGTTCACGAAAATAAGACTTATTATAACTTATAAATACACTTTAATCAGTAAAACTATTTATTATAATACTCAAGTTTCTTCTTATTTGTTGACCTAGTTGGCGGAGAGGTGGTCCGTCATTCTCATGATTTCCTTCATCTCCATCTGGGTCTGGTTCAACTAACTTAAAGTCGGGATCGCCCAAGCTCTTTGCAACATTATGGAGTACAATACAAGGAATAATTATTTTCGGCACATTTTCCAACTTTACGCGGCAAACATACTGTACGATAGGAAACCGGAGTTCCAGTTGGCCGAAACAACGTTCAATTATAATTATTTCTTGTTTTAAAAGCTTATTATAATTTATTTCTGCACCTGGAATAGGATTTCTGAAGGGAGCCATAAGGCATGGCTCAATACCATAACTGTCATCGCCAAATAGTACATTTGCTTTATTTATTAGTTGTGATCTAGTCTGTGAATTTCTCCATATTCTGGAATCATGCACTGATCCAGGCCAACTGACATCAACACTTGTGAATATCTCTCTGGCATCACAAGTGGCTTGCACATTTAAAGTAGGTTTCCCTTTTCAGTTGATATACTCATCTCCATGGCGATTTAGTTTCAGGATTCCTATATGTGTACAATCAGTTACACCAATTGCTGTCGGAAATTTATACATGCTTTGCTATATCCGCTTGGCCTCCATCAGTTCATGATTGGTATTTGTAAACTTGATCCATTCGTTCAACTGTGCAACTATGCTGTTCACAACTCTATCGACAGTCCGAGATACTGTTGCTTGACTAACACCAAGTTCCTGACCAATAGCTTGTTGATATCCAGGGTGACTGAGATAGCATAGACTTTGGTTCTCCTCGAGTTACCTCATTCTCAACTAAAAATCTGTCTGCAAGCCATTGTACATTTGCTTTGTCGAACCAATATAATTTTTTTAAGTCACGACCAAGTGAAGATAAACGAGGTTTGTACGTTTTAACATCCCTAACATACACAATTTTCGCCATCATCGTTTGACCACCTTTCGTTACAAAGTCTGCTACTGACCACACTCAGAGTTTTTTAAGGATATGCTTCCAATGTCAAGTATAAGGTGAAGATTAACAATATCCTTTTACTTATGTCACTGCTTTGAAGGATATGCTTATACTCAAAAAGCAAAAGCATTTACTTCAAATTATTATAAATACCATCTGGAGGATTTCCTTCAAAATTTGCAAGTACAAGGATATCCTTTGTTTTATGAATATGGCTCATTGCTTCTGTTTCTAGCATATTTATATAACAATAGGAGATATATAGTATAATTGGCAGATATACAGGATAGCCTGAAACTTTTCTTTTCAGAGTCAACTACATTTGCAATATGCGGCGAAACAACACTGAAAATGTAGAAAAGAAATTGAAGAAAAATACTCACTATTAATTTGGTAAGGAATTTCAAGTACTGTCCTGTCATATTTTGTTTGTAAACAATGCTTAAAACTGCTAACACTGTTCAATTAAAAAAGACGAGTTTCACGATATAAACAAAGATATGCTGTTCTGATGAAAAGACACATCAAGAATGACAGTGATATTATATATTTATTAGAAGTCCCTTACTTTGAGGACAGCCTGTATGTGTCCAATTTCTGTAATAAACCTGAACTTTGCTTTACAAATAAAGATGCTGGCTATTATCTGAGGTTATTATTATATTTTTCACATATATCCTCTTATAAACATACCTTGCTGTACTTAGCAATGGATGGTTGGTCCCAATCAGCTTACGCAAGTGTAGAGCAATGTTAGCCACTTCGTCATTCAATAACCATCGCAAGCTTAAAAATGACGTGGGATAACCCACAATCTTCTCGGCTTCATTCACAGCTGTGTTACTTACAGACCGTTGCTGCCGTTGTCCTTTATGTGATGTAATGTTAATATTTGCAAAAACTGATGTGGATGTTCTATGTAGTATTCTTTCTATGTTTGGTATAATAAATTGGTATATACTCATTATTACTCTATATCTTTGGCAAAATCAACATCCCTAATTAGAAAACATAAAAACAATCACTTAATATAAGTTATATCGTTTTTCAGCACATCAAAATAATACTTTCGTATCAGATACTAATTATGGATCTTGTTTGTTTACGACTTTTGAAATTTAACCATGTGATAATTGACGTCACATTGACACAAGATGGCTGCGTTCGGGAATTGTTTCGGAGTGTACATTGTACTTCCCTGTAACAATTCCTAATTGCTTGACATGCCTGTTCCATGCGTTCCGGAATATCTTTGTCAAAAGTGCGTTTATTCTCCCGTGCTCAAAACCTTGGTAATAAAAGTCTTGTCTGTTGTCATTCCTATTGTTCATTGTTTGTTTATTTTATTTGGTTATCAAAAAGAACTCAAAATTTGCATAATATACATTTTTCGGACCGAGTAAAGATAACACGGCCACGCAAGAAAATGTTGAAATGTACTCTACTATTCTCCATACGACTATCCGTAGCGAAATCATTGCACAACACTTAAAAAATGCAAATGAAAATTGGAAAATTGACGCCATGACGTTTGGAATGGCTTACTAGGAGCTATCTAGTCAGCAAGTTAACATTTTGTCGGTTTTTTTTTTACATTATGTTTTTGTGTTTTTATGCAGTTCCGGTTGTGGTTGACATAAAAATAACATATTTTTTTCACACTGCTCCTGAATTCACAATGGAATGTCGAATGATATGACATTTTCATCTGGGATACTGTGAAACTTTATTTTTAAAACTCCTAAAGTCTACCAATTTCTAAGCACGTTGTCTGCGACAACATTTATCGTGAAAAGTATATATTCAGGCAATTGTGAGTGCTTTTTGATAATAAAATAAAGCAACAAACATTGAAGAGATAATGACAAGTGAAATCCTTATTATTCCTAAGGATTTGAGCACGGGAAGAAAAGCACACTTTTGACGTTCAAGAAGGACTACTTTGTTCTATTGCGGCAGGGGCATTATGTAAAAAACCAAAAAACATAAAAAACGACAAAATGTCATCTTTAAGACCAGAACGCAAATAGTTAATTCTACGTTTGCTCGCTGTGATCGCTGTGAGCGTCATCAAAGCGTCCATCTATGGAAGAATGACTCAACGACACGCTCAAATCTGTCCCCCAGTTGCTTGCATTAAGCCAAGTAGTCTGTAGTGTTTAACTCTGAGATCTGAAAGAAAAAAAGTTGGTTGAATTGCAATATCGCATCTGAATGATAATGTTTATTGGACTCCATGTGATATTTGCTATGAGAAAAAATTATTTCTGAATATGCTGCCAATGAAGTATATCTATTAGATGTACCCAACGGGTTCAAGTTATAAATTACGATTGTTCCCGTCTTTTTTGTGTTTTTAAAAACTTTGAGGAAAATATTACCCAAAAATCACCACCGCGCCCGCGTTGTGTGTAATTACTGTTAACATGTAATGGGTGGGCCATCTATCGGTTTCGATTTGAACCACGTGTTAATTTGACGCTGACAATACTTATGTCAATCTGATTTGTCATAAAATTCAGTATATTAGAGAGATATTGCATATGGACCTAAATAAGGGTATGCATTATTTAGGTGAACCTAAATAAGTACAGTGGAATTAGAGATATTGCACATGTAACGTATTTTGACAGTTCGCTTTGATGGTGTTTATCTTAACCTCACTTTTCCTTCCAGTTTTTGCTTGCATAATATAGGTGGTTCGTAGTTGAAATTCTACCAAAGGTGTGAGAAGTGAGATTGTAAAATGGAAGCTGAATTGGAAGCAGTTATATTGGCAGGAGCAGATGAGGAGGAAATAGAACATATCATCCTCCATAATATATTTATTGATAGAGGCATTACTCATACAGCACAATTCAACTTGGAAAACTTGCCAGATGAAGTAATAAGACTAAATTTTCGATTTGAGAGGTCTGACCTTCATAGGCTGATGGCTGTTTTACGAATACCTTCAGAAATTGTCACTATCACACGTAATAAAGTGGATGGTATGATTTTGTTTAAATATTTATTGCTATATGTTCATCATTTCAATCGAACTCCATCCTCTGACTCAAACAACACTTGCCAGAGGCTGGAATTCTATCAACATGAAAACCACAGTATAAGTTCCATTTATCTTCTTTCAGGTTTAACAGCATTGTGCATTCTACTAAGACGGCTGGCATATCCAAACAGATTGTGTGATATGGTCCCTATGTTCCACTTGTCAACTCAGTCTTTGTCACAAATCATAAATAAATTGATAAGTGTGATTATGGAGGAGCATGCTGTACTTCTCAACAATTTGAATTCATTGCAGTGGTTTAATAGGGAGAAGTTGGAGTATTATGCACAGGTATTGTATTGTGTAATATAGTTGAAGTGATGGTTGGTTCATAAAATGCTGAAATGTGCTTTTTGTAGGCTATTCATAATAAAGGAGCACCTATGAATAATTGTTGGGGTTTCATCGATGGTACAGCAAGGAAAATTTGTCGACCCTCTGAAAATCAAGAAGAGTATTATTCAGGACACAAAAGGTATCACTGCATAAAATTCCAATCAATAATTTGTCCTGATGGAATTATTGTTAGTTTGAAAGGCGCATATCCGGGAAGAAGGCATGATGCCAGAATATTTAGGGAGTCAGGTATCTCTGAAGAATTAGTGCAAAAGACATGTTTTGACACAAGACGATTTGTTTTATTTGGTGATCAAGGATATGGGCTGAGTGATGTGCTATTTACCCCATTTCATGGCAGAATGGAAGATTTACCTGCCCATCAGCAGAGTTTCAATTCTGCTATGAAAGTTCTAAGGATAGCAGTAGAATGGGGTTTTCAGAAAGTCATATCAGAATTTGCCTTTGTAGATTTTTCAAAAAACCAAAAAATGCTACTTCAAGACGTTGATGCTTTATACAAGGTGGCTGTACTACTTACTAACTGCCATACATGCCTGTATAGTAGTCAGACTGCTATGTATTTCAATACAAATCCACCTTCACTTGAGACCTACATAGGCCACTGATAAATAGAGGACATTTTGGGTTTGAAATACTCGTTTGCTTTCCATCGCCGCAGCCAAGACCAACCGCAGACAGCGCTGTTTCGGGCTCTTTAGCCCTCATCAGTATGGTATAGGTCTGTATCAGGTCCAGCCGTGAAGGCGGACAAATGGAAAGTAAACAAGCGAATGTGGTCTATCAAATAGCGGGAAGACGGTAAATGTAAAAGATGGCTCGCGCCATCTAAATTTCGCTAGAACTAGTTTCTTTGCAATGGAAAGCAAACGAGTATATCAGACTATATTATTGCATGTTCTGCAGAAAATGCTATTGTTAGTTTGTCCTGTGAACGCCTTGCGTTACGACTCTGGTGGCCGGCTACTGTTGGTTGGTACCGGGGTATCTGTACTCTGTACAATTCATCTGAGTCAGCGACCAGAAATCGTAAGGGGTTTCTGCTTTGCCTGCGTCGTCATTGACGAAACTTGCAAAGAAACTATCTCTAGCGCAAATTTAGATGGCGCTAGCCATCTTTTACATCTAAATTTTGGGTTGTTTCTAACTTGTAACGCTTGATGATAATTTGTAATTTTTTATAGACTTGTAAGACCAATAAAGCTTGTTTGGAATGTATGTTTATTTATTTTACAACCATAAGGGCAGCAAGCACCCAATAAGAGATTTCAAAACTAAATTAGTATGTTGCTGAAAATATATGAAATCAACTTCTTCAGGAGTTGTGGATGAAATATGTTTGATCCTGAAGTTACACAGTTTTACTATGTTCATACATGGAACCAGTTGCAGAATCAATTTCATATATTTTCGGCAACAAACTTGGTTTGTGCTCACCATCCTTAGCATCAACATTATTATTTCAATATAAGGCCAGTATATTATTTTTTTAATGGCAAATTATCTATTATCAAGTTTTGTCAGTAATGCTTCAATAAGCTTTTGTTGTGTTTTGATGAGGTCACTCAAGTTTTTTCTTTCAGCGACATCTTGCTCAGATTTCTTTTGTTCTAACTCTATCCTATGTTTTTTTTCTTGAATTTCTGCCTCAAGCCTTTTAGACTCCAAGGCAAGTCTTGCTTTGTCATTTGCAATTTTTTCTTTTTCATTATCCATTTTTTGTTCTTCTAACTTGAGTTCTGCAGATCTTATTTCTCGTGATATTTCCGCTTTTTCTCGTAGGTAATCAAGGCCATTTTTTCTCAATGTTTTACTTTTGTTCATCCTTTTGGTACGGGGGGCTGTAATGATCGAAAAGTAAGTAACAGCAACAATAAACAAATGTATTTAATCTTGAACATGAAATGTAAGAGGTAGTTTTGAGCTTTCTGTTTTATAGGTAATGTATAACATACTAGAAACTACTTAATCTAGTAGTAGCCCTCTGAATGGGATGCCATGGCAATGCTATATACGCTGTAGTCATCTGGATCCACTATTTGGTTAGTCTGGCCTGTAAATAAAACCGCAGTGCTAAACAAAAGAAGTTCACTGACAGGTTAGTCATTGCACTGGCTTTTATCAAAGTATATAACATAAGTACCTACACATTTTATATCGAGCACTGGTTTTATTTACTGGTCATACTCCATAACCTGTGGATCTGTTTTAGTGTTTCTATTACTGAAGATTCAAGCAGTAATTCTAATCATTGTTTTACCTGATATCTGTTTTGCAGTTCCAACATCTTGTACAGATATCTGTTTTGCAGTTCCAACATCTTGTACAGATATCTGTTTTGCAGTTCCAACATCTTGTACAGATATCTGTTTTGCAGTTCCAACATCTTGTACAGATATCTGTTTTGCAGTTCCAACATCTTGTACAGACTTATTATTATTTTCTGTGTCAACGTCGACTGTAACACAAACACCTAAAACTGTGATAATATAGTAATATGTATAAAAAATGTTTAGAATAGTTATTTTACCGTAATCATGGTCGATTAAAGTGTCATCCACATCAGAAAAGGCCAGCAGTGCCATAGCCTCTCTTTCATTGCGTGTCTTTTCAATCATATCTTTCGCTTTGTTTTCCACTTTTTTCTTTTTTGCTGGTGTAGTTGAGCAGGTCTCTTTCATTAACTCGCTGGCTTCTTGGAGCATATGTTCTCTTTCATTATAGACTTCTTCTATGCCAGACCTGTCAAACACAAATGTTGTTTCACCAAGTCTTACATTAAGCATTCTCTTGTTATTAAAATACATGTAGGTACAGTGTGCTATCTTATACTTACTTGACTTTGCTGTTAACCTCCTTTTTGAGGAACAGCTCCAGAAGATGGTTCAGATGCTTTTTTATTGTTCT